GGTGGGTGTGGGCCACCTGGCCGGGAAGGTCTCGGGGGCTGTGTGGGTGTAAAGTCGAGTCCTTGAACGGGACGCGGTTGCTCTTGCCCGAGGGCTCGGGGAGGGGCTCGGGTTTCCCGCCAGCCACTGAGCTTTCCCTCAGGGGGAGCAGTACTGGGACCGGCTCCGATTCTCCCCATGGTTTCTTTTTAGTATTTGAAGAGTTGGCACGCAGTGCCAACCACAATGCAGTGGTAGCCGTACAGACCTAGAGTTTGCTGCTCAATTAACTGCCCTTCTCGTTACTGCAGCAATCTGCCTAGAAAATAAACGCTAAAATTCCTGCAAAGCCAGGGAAACTTTGTTTAGAAAGGTTGTGCTTAAATTTAACTCCTAAACAGTTTTTTCTTATGATTGGTATTCAGGGCAAGGATTGCATAAGAGGTGGGACTTTTCATTGGGGCTTTTTTGGAAACTTTTTCTTGTTGGCTGAATATATAACCCTTTTATTTTAAGAAATCAGTTTTAAGAGAACACACAGAATCTGCTCGTTCTGTATTACTTGCTTAGATGCCTAAGTATCTAGTATTTGATTTCCAAGCAGGATTTTTTTTTGGATTTTAAAATTTCTAAACAGAAAATGAAGAGTTAAAAAACCCCCCAAAAACTGTTCTAGTGATCCACACTGGAATACAGTTGATGTCTTTGGTAAGTGTGTCGTGGTGCTTCTCCTAATTCCAGTCTACCAAATCCTGGTAAATGGAATCTGTGGTACAGCATTGCCTTGAGTTGGATGTGAGGTTGACATCGTGCAACCGCTGGCCGAGCGAGGGGGAATTCAAGGATATCTTGGCTGTCGGTAGCCTGGCTTTTCCCTGTCTGACAGCTCAGCTTGGAGACCGGCCAGGGAGTGTTGGAAGCTGCCAGAGGAATTGCCACTGATTTTGTCCTTGCAGCGAGAAAATCGGGTGGTGAATGAGGAGAGCACTGGGGATTCTCAAGCAGAAACCCCGCCAGCTGATGAGAAAGTAGATTGGGGAAAGAGGACTTTTGACTTTATAAGTCATTTTTGCAGTGTTTTAGGGAGAGATTTTTCCTCTCTGCAGTGTGCTCCCTTAACTTGAAGGTGCTGTGCTTTCTGGGTTTGGCTCATACAGCAGCCAGCTTTTTCCCTTGATAGCTGTGTGCCACATCCAGTATTTTCCATTTTCTAGGGATATTAATAACTCCATATATATTCTGCTTGGTGCAGGCCTCAGCTCTTAACCTCATTTTATTCCAATGCAAGTTGTCAGTCACTCCTTGATGTGGCAATCAGGTGCTTTTCCTTTTAACTTCCTCTTAGGGAAAAGAATTCCGTGTTTAAATAACATAGTCACCTTTGTCTCCATGACTTGGCATTCTTGGGTCAATAACAGTCACAAAATGCCAGTCTTAGTGGGAGAGTAAACTTGGCACTGAAATAAAGTAATCTTTTTTGCTTCATTAAGGTATTGTGTAGCTGAAAGGAATGCAGATTTTTTGAGGGAAGAGTGAAATCAGGACTTTTTTGTAGGTAGTCAAGAAGTAAGGCCTCAAATCGTTGCTGCCATTTCTTCTTTGCTTCCTGAAAGTGGAAATGAATCCACAGTTATACTCAGCGCTGCACATTTTAATCTGATGCAGTTTTATCTGTTGGGGCTGTGCTATTGTTGAGTTATTTCGTTATAGCTTCGTGGTAAGCTTTATGCCCATGGTGTGCATGGCAAACAGATTTTATACAATGTGTTTAAATATGAGGCAAGTGTTTTCTCAGCTTTAATTTTCTTTCTTTCTGTCTCTCCTTGTGCTTTTTTACATTTAGCGTTGAGAGGCAAAATGGTCCATGCTGAAGCATTTTCACGTCCTCTGAGCCGAAATGAAGTGGTCGGGTTGATTTTTCGTTTAACTATATTTGGTGCTGTAACATATTTCACCATTAAATGGATGGTTGATGCCATTGATCCGACCAGAAAGCAGAAAGTAGAAGCTCAGAAACAGGTAGGATTTGGTTCGTAAATACTTGTGTGAAGTGCTGTCTTGTTCATCACTGTGCATACAGAGAAATCTGCTGACTTTACGTAAACTGGATTTGCAGTAATTGATAAAGTAATTGATGAAAGCGTGTGGAATAATAAGAATAAAAAGCATCTTTTAGTAAATCTCAGGATCTAGGATGGTAGCATTTTCAGTGCTTACGTTTTATAACAAGTTAAAATTTTCTCGCTTGAAGTGGTGGCAAAACTGTTGAACTGGGGCGCAATGTTGTCTCTAATGGTCACTGTGATGAGCACTGTGCCTTTGTGGCCAAGAAGGCCAATGCCATCCTGGGGTGTATCAGGAGGGGGGTGGTTGTAGGTCAGAGAGGTTCTCCTGCCCCTCTACTCTGCCCTGGTGAGACCACATCTGGAATATTGCGTCCAGTTCTGGGCCCCTCAGTTCAAGAAGGACAGGAACTGCTGGAGAGAGTCCAGCGTAGGGCTACAAAGATGATGGAGGGAGTGGAGCATCTCCCTTATGAGGAGCGGCTGAGGGAGCTGGGGCTCTTTAGTTTGCAGAAGAGGAGACTGAGGGGAGACCTCATTCATGTTTATAAATATTTAAAGGGTGAGTGTCACGAGGATGGAGCCAGGCTCTTCTCGGTGACAAACAATGATAGGACAAGGGGTAACGGACACAAACTGGAACACAGGAGGTTCCACTTCAATTGGAGAAGAAACTTCTTCTCAGTGAGGGTGACAGAGCCCTGGCCCAGGCTGCCCAGAGAGGTTGTGGAGTCTCCTTCTCTGCAGACATTCAAAACCCGCCTGGACGCCTTCCTGTGTAACCTCATCTGGGTGTTCCTGCTCCGGCAGGGAGATTGGACTGGATGAGCTTTTGAGGTCCCTTCCAATCCCTGACGTTCTGTGATCTGCAAGTGTGTGGTCCCAGTGACAGCTTTGCTAAGCAGCAGTCACATTACATAGTGCTCTCATCACTCTCTTGGTTACTTTTTAAAACCCCGAGCAGAAATAACTTAATTTTCTGCCACTTTTCGGCAGGTTAATGGCAGAGGCAGAGCCTGTAGTTCCTTGTCACAAAGAGTGGCACTGCTGTCCAAATGCTTTTTTAAGAACACATTTGCACTTTGTCCCTCTGTTCTCCCCTCCACCAGCAGTCAAAATGCCCTGGAAAGGAGAGGAAAAAAGTGAAAAGCCTCATTCTTTATGTTGAATCAGAATGGTTCACGGGGCTTAATGCTCCGGGAAAAGCTTTAGGTTCATTTCAGAACCAAAAGTTTAATATTTCCTTTGGAAAGTATTGAAGGAAATGTCGCAATGTCTTTTTGTTTTCTGGCTGACACAGATTTCGCAGATTCAAAGAGCAGTTTTGAGCAACCTAATTCTCTTTTTGGGTGGGTTTTCTTTTTTAATGCAATCTTTAGTGGAAAAAAAAACTGGCCCCGCTTTACAAATCAGCTTTCACAATCTGTGCCAGTGCCAGATATTATATAAGAGGTTGCAGCATCCCAAAAGCGTGTCAGGCTTAACCACAAGTTTGAGTAGAAAGAGAAACGGAATTGGGAAAGCGTGTTGACACAGCAAATGACTTTTCCTTTTAAACTGGGAAAAAGAAAACAATACATCGAAAAAAATTGACTGGCTTCTGTGAATTATCTTTTTTCTTTTTCTCCTTCTTCTCAAAACTGAATTAATCTCTCCTTGGTATGGTAGTGGGGAGGTTTGAGGCAGGGCGTGCATTTTTATAATGGCACAAATACGTCTCTCATTAAAGTGCGTGTGTATTATTTGCAGGGCTGTGAATGAAAATAATTAAGCATATGAAAGAACTGTGGAGTTCTGTGTAATAACAAGTTTCAGGCTTTTCCTCTGAATCCTGTACAAAGCTTGTAAGGACTAATGGGCCTTTTCTTTTTTAAGTGTAACAAATCTGTATCGGCTTTGGAAACTCGTGTGCAGATTGTGGAGGCGATTTTGCACTGAGGTTACCTGTGTGTCTGCCCACCTGAACAGCAAACGCTGTGTTTTAATGTTTGTTTAGCTTTTCAGGTCATAGTGTATGACTTGTGGGTGTGGGGGTGGGAGGGCTGGTGTGGCACTTACTTGTTGGGAACTGAGACATATGACTTAGTTTCACTTAAGTGACAGCAAGTCATTAGGAAATAGCAGAACCTTCTACTTCAGAAAGATGTAAGCTCTTTTCAGCTGTGACTTATGGAGGAGTTTTTCAGACTCCAAGCAGCAGTTCTTTTAAAAACTACTTTTCGAGTTAAGTATTCAGTTCCTTTCTCCGATTTTCTTGGTGGTTTATTTCCCCCCAGGCTGAAAAACTAATGAAGCAAATTGGAGTGAAAAATGTCAAGCTTACTGAATACGAAATGAGTATTGCTGCACATCTCGTAGACCCGCTTAGCATGCACGTAAGAAACTGTTTGCTGTGTTACTCCAATTAAAGCGCTTTGGATGACATTGTCACGTGTGTGTATCTACGGAAATACATAGAAAACACTTCTGTAATTTAAAACTAAAATTCCATAGTTGAGAGCAAAGTATTTTAATCACTTGTAATTTTGATTTTTGAGGCCTTGCACTTCTTTTAAGCTTGTGGATATTTTTTGGCTGGCAGGGACTAAAAAAATAATTTCTAATATTTGTTTTTTCCATATCAGGTAACCTGGAGTGATATTGCAGGCTTAGATGATGTTATTACAGATTTGAAAGACACTGTCATTTTGCCTATCAAGAAGAAATATTTGTTTGAAAATTCCAGGCTCTTACAGCCACCAAAAGGTAGGAGGAAATGTTACGGGTTTGTATGTTGGCATTATAACAATCAGAAAAAACCAAAATAAAACCCCGAACAAGCAAACAATCAAAAGAAAACCCACCAAAAAGACAAAAGTTACAGTTACCCAGAAAGGAAAGAGGAAGTGGGTTGCGAGTCCACAGTGCACCCATTAGGACTGATGCCAGGGAAAACTCTCAGGTCTTTCCTTGTCTCTTGCCGTGAAGTCACGGCAAGTTCTAGTGAGTAAGTTATGTCTTGATAATGAAGCAAAAATTGCTTTTCAATAACTCATGTTACATTTTGGTGCACTAATCTGTGTAGCCCACGTTTTTAGCTACCTAAGTTGTCGGTTGTTTTTCTTCTTGCACCCCACCTTGTCCTTTGGCAGAGGCGAGCTATTACTTGTGCAGCTTCGTACCCTTGGTTAATATTTCTACAGTATCATAGAAACATACGTCATAAGCTTGAGACGTCAATGCAAGCTGATCTTGCCAGACATCTCTCAGTTCTAGTCCTGGAAATTCCAGTCATTCAAAGAGGCAGAGATCCCATTTTTATTCTGGAGAAGCCTTGATTTTCCCTGGAGCTGAGCTGCACGGTGTTGACGCAGTAAGGAAACCGGCAGATGACAAACTGATTTTCCAACAGTAAACCAGAAGTTGGACTCTCTCTGCTGGAGTCCTTACGGTCGTATTTGCTGTGTGTTACTGCAGACAAGCAGAATTTGAACCTAAAATGTTGGACAAAATGCCCAAGTTTATCTTTACTGCTCTGATTCCTGGAATATTGTCTTCTGAAAATTCTCTGAAAACCATTAATTGCTGCCTGTATCAGTGACCGTCTCAGTTTCATGTACTGAGTGGTGGAAAATGCAACAGTGTTGTAACTTGTTTAGTTTTTCCAGGCTACTTTTTGTTTAAGTCACAAATTGAAGCTGTCTGGAAAATTACTTTAATGTCATGATCTAAGAAGCTGAAGGAAAAAATTATGCTTTTAATTTATCTTTTTAAAGCAGACTTTCCATATATGGCAAGCTACCCAGTTTTATTAGTGGCTTGTACTGTGTGTTAATAGGAAATCAGTGCTTCAGAGTAATTATGTTTGTGGTCATCAGTCACATAAACAGAAGAAAAACCCCTAGTAATTCTCTGTGTTCCAGGCTTGTTTGACTTTTATTTTTTTTCCTTTAAATTGTTTTCTTTACAACTGTGTTAGAAAAACACTGTTGTGGATTCTTGCACTGTGACAAGTTTAAAAATAATATGAGGTGCCACATTTAATTGTGGGTAATTTGTTCAAAATGTTTGTGGGCGCTTTTTTTTTTTCCTTTTTCCTCTCTGTGCTAAGTTTTATTCACAAGGCTGGAACTGGCTATAAACAAGGCTTGTCAAATGCTTACAAGAAATGAATAGTGTTTTCATTTTATGTAACCTTTACAGCCGCAGTAATAAACCAGTCATCTCTCAGACAAATGTCTCCCTTCCGTTTCACCATACCTCTTTTGAGATATTCTTAGCTTTCATTTTATGATAAGGCTATCTTAAATAACTCTGTATTTGATTTGATGGAACGCCATGTAATGTAGTTTCTTATCTTCTAAAGCCTGGATAAAATACAAGCCTGGACACTCTCAGGTCTCTTACACCAGAGCGTGTTTTCTGTACAGCGACCAGAGAGCGTTAACGCCGTTACTTTTACAGGAGTTCTTCTCTACGGCCCTCCTGGCTGTGGCAAAACGCTGATCGCCAAAGCTACGGCGAAGGAAGCGGGTTGTCGATTTATTAATCTGCAGCCTTCAACACTGACGGACAAATGGTATGGAGAGTCTCAAAAACTGGCTGCTGCTGTCTTCTCCCTTGCTATAAAGCTCCAACCATCCATCATTTTTATTGATGAAATAGGTAAAAAAAGATATATATATATTTTTTAAATAAGTAACTGTAGCAGAGTCACATTAAATTGTTTGTTCAGGTTGATGGGTGTATTGATTTACTGTCATCTGAAACGAGATTTAGTAATATAAATAGTATTGTAAAGTAATGTTGCCAAAGTAGGAAAAACGGTGTGTTTCTTCCTCGTGTTAGTGGAGGAAATTACAAGTAATTAAGTAATTATAAGTTGCTGCTTATTTTTGGTTGGGCTAAGGTGGTTCATGAGGAAAGCTTTTCTTCTGTCAAGGGAACTTCTTATTCAGGAAACCCATCACCAAATATACCTCAATGCTTCTGCCATGAGGGCATGTAAGGGAAAGTAAAATACAGGTTTAGGAGAGCTCGGGAATAATAGTTTAATAAGGCTGAAGAAGTGGGGGGAGAAGTTCAGCTAGGAAGACAGCAAAGGTGCCAGTGGTTCAGTGCACTTGGATTTGTCACATCAGTGTTCAAGTCCCCGTGAACTTGAGGAGTTGGGTTAAGATCACTCATTGTCTTATAGCACTGGCACTCAGAGGGAGTTGTGCAGTTTGCAGAAACAGAGAAGCTTTTACCCTTTCCATAGCTGGGGTTTATGAAGGGGCTACATTCCTAAGATGCTTTTGATCCTTTTGTATGCGTTTGGAAAATGTGTTTTTCTACCAGTTGGAAAGTCATTAGTCAACCACTAGCAGAGCTAGAGCTCTGCGTAACAAAGTGTATAGCCTACTAGTGAGTCCTGCAGCTTGCTGTTCTCCTGTGCTTTGGTGTCCTTTAGCTTGCCAGACACTGAATGCTTCCATTTCTGCGTGAGAAATTAAGGTGAAAGTTACACTTCCCATGAATTCAGGGAAGCGAAAATTTGGAGCACGAGTTGGGACAGTCTCATGTGATGAGTACATGTGTAATGTTATTTAAAAGATGTGCTTAAAGAAGTGATGAGATTCCACTTCATCATCATAAAATATTTTTCATTTGTTGATAAGGCTTATGAAAAACGTGTAAGATAGCAAATAGCACAAGTCTGCACAAGAGAAGTTGAACAGCAGTGTTTCTATGGCAGGATTGAAGGTAAACTGCTTTACTGAATCCTTTAATACAGATTCCTTCTTACGAAGTCGGTCAAGTTCTGACCATGAGGCTACAGCTATGATGAAGGCTCAGTTCATGAGTCTGTGGGATGGCCTGGACACTGATTACAACTGCCAAGTGAGTACAGAGATGACGAGAAAAGTTACGGGATCCTTCCCTCTCGGTTATTGCGTGCTGAGCCATTTGGGAGGGTGGTAAATGGCCAAAAGAGGTTCTTTACCTGTCAGTGTTAGTGATTACAAGAATATTTTGGGAATGAGAGGAGTTCTATTAGTAGAACATTTTTCTTCTTGAGAAGACTGTTTTTGTAGGTGTTTTGGTTTTAATTAAGAGGGGTTAGTTTCAGGAGTGTCTTAAGTCTCAATCATACAGCTGTATAGTTTGAGCTGCCAAAATTGGGCACTTTTAAACCGTTTTGAAAAACATTTTGTCAACAGTGTTGACAACTTCAGGTGAAGTGAAATCTTTGATTTCAGGAAAGGTATTGAAAGATCCGAGTGTCCATCCCAGCTGTGGGTTGGTGAGTTTGTTTCCAGAAAAGCCTTAGACTGGCATCAGGCAAGCACTAGAAACTGGAGTTAATCTGAAAGGGTTCCAAGTTGATGTTATCAAAAGACAAATTCTATTAAATAGAGCCCTGCTTCCATCCCATTGTTCCCGTATGCTTCTGTCCTTCTCCCACAATCTCGACAGAAGTATTGTATTTTGGAGAGGAAAAAAGAAACAAACCCAAAAGCTGCTGGTGCTGTAAAAACAGAGAAAGAAACAAAAACCATTTATGAAACAAATGACTTGAATGTAGCGTAGATGAAAGCCCCCTTGGTATGTTTCTGAACATACTGGAGCAATCTTTTTAAAGCCTTTAAAAAGGATGTTTATTCTTCAATTTTAAAATCTTCAGCCTTTTAAATCTCTCTTTTTCTGTGAATTGGTTCCTATGCTCTGACCTCCATTAGTTTTTTCTCTGTAAAATCTGCTTTTCCTTCTCTCTCAAACTTGTACTAAAGATTATTTTCAGTTGATTTTTAAAAAAAACTGAGTAGAACATAGTGAATATCTATACACCAAGGGACTTTAAAGCAGAATGTTTGCTTACCAGTAGTAGGAGCCCAAAGGTATCGATGCTCAACTGGAAGCTGATACAATCTTGCAAGCACACATTTCTTCTGGTGTTTGAATGTATTATCTTTTTTCCCAGTATACTGACAACTTTTTGGAGCAGTTCATTCAGAATTGTTCATTCCCCATCTCTCGAGTTCAGCCTGAAAAGTCACTCTTGTCCCTTACTCATATGTTTTACAGGGCAGGGAGCCACCTCACTAAAATGCAACACAAACAATTGCCTGTAGACACTGCAGGAGGTGTTTCAATTTTTTTTAGGAGTGTTTTGTTTCAATAACGAATTTCAGGCTCCTTCCTGAGATGTCATTGCAGTTCAGGAAGTGCTCGTTAAGCAATAGCTTTGACACTTGCGTTGTCTCCGTTTTTGACAGCCCACTCGCTAGGCTCTTCTGTTAATTACAAATGTCTACTTGGGAGCTTTGGGTTGATTGTTGGATTCTTGCCGAACCAATTTTGTCTGAATAACAGTTACAGTAACAAAAATTCCAAATGCTAGGAGGAAATTGTAAATTAAGTGTTGTGATGAATGTTCTTTGTTCCTGTGTTGACTGCACCTGGAAAGTGTGCTCAGTTTTGGGCTAAACCTGCCAAGGACATAGTCTTGAGTCTGTACTTGAGCAGGAACTTGTGGCATAGTGCCTGGAAAACAGAGCTGTCCTGCTTGAAGGGACAGTTTGAATCTGGAAGCCCTGCACAGCTGTATTTGTGCCCTGGAGTGGTCCCACATTTGCAGAACCTGCAGGCAAAGCTGGTTTTGGGAAGGTTCCTCAGCTCCAGTAGCACAGAGGGAGCAACATTTCACAGAATCACAGAATTGCTCAGTTGGAATCTGAGATCATCACGTCCAACCGTTCCTGTCTACCCACTAAACCATATCCTTAAGTACCTCATCTACCCGCTCTTTAAACACATCCAGGGATGGTGACTCCACCACCTCCCTGGGCAGCCTGTGCCAGCTTCTGACGACCCTCTCAGGAAAGAACTTCCTCCTTATCTCTAACCTGAACCTCCCTTGGCACAGCTTGGTGCCGTTTCCCCTTGTTCTATCCCCATCACCTGGGAGAAGAGACCAGCACCCACCTCTCCACAAGCTCCCTTGAGGCAGTTGGAGGTGGTGATGAGGTCTCCCCTCAGCCTTCTCTTCTCCAGGCTAAACAAGCCCAGTTCCCTCAGCCGCTCCTCATCAGGCTTGTTCTCCAGAGCCCTCCCCATCCTTGTGGCTCTTCTCTGAACACGCTCCAGAATCTCAACAGGTCCATCTTGATGTGAAACCCGAGGAAGCACAGCACAGGTGCAGCGATGCCCCTTTGCAGGAGGCAGCTCAGCCAAGCATTAGCTTGTGTTTGGCATCCTTGCGTGCGTGACTCTTTCTACAAGGTGAAAACTGCCGCAGCCCCGGTGAAAAACGCACCTTTTGGCTTTTTCCGTGCGTAGCAATTTGCCACGGTGTGATGAAGCCTCTAGGTGGCAGAGCGACTCTGCTCCGGGACACGCAACCCGGCCTGGCCAGGGGCTGCCGGAGCTGCCAGGACTGGCTGCGCTACAGTGACCCCAGACAAAAGAGCAGGGCATGTCAAGAAACTGAATTGATAGGAGATTAATTTCCCTGACATTTCTCACTTTCGTGACTGGCTGTTTACAATGTACATAACTTACAATAACAAATGAGAAAACAAAGATGATGTGAATGGGAAGTAAATTTGTTCTTAAACTAACAATTGGAATGCGGTCAAATGAGGTAAATACTCTCCTTGTGTTGAACTTGGCTTGTCCACACCTAATGCACTGCTCTTGCAGTACACCAGTGCATAGAGGTTCTTACTGACTTGTAATGCTTTTTTTTTAATGCTAAACAAAAAGGAGAAAGATTTTAGTGCATGCCAAAGCTGCAGGTTTGGTCATTCTGATGAGCTGATTGCATTTCTTTTTTCCACATAGCACAAAAATGCCAAGTTTTTTAATACCTTACCGAAGCGTCTCCTTTCAGGTTCCTCCCAGACCCGCAGAAACTAAAGAGACATCACCGACACTTATAACCAGAAGTTTTGGGTTACTGCTTAGAGTTTGAACGTTCAAATTGGGCTCAGAAGGCTTCAGACCAGTGTGAAAAATCTCCACACAGATGGTTCTCTGTGGTGCCAGCGCTTTCTTCAGCTTCTTTTTTAAATCCAGTTGCTGAAATCAGTACCGAGAAACCTTGTGTAACTTCTTTAAATGTCGATGTTCCTGATAAAGTGTGGAAAAGTCACATGTTTGGTTTTGAAACTCCAGCATAGCGATGTTTTCAAAAGCTGGTTCCAGGCTGACTAGTTTTTTCTGTTGGTGTATGCAGGTAATAGTGATGGGAGCCACCAACCGTCCTCAGGATCTTGACTCTGCAATCATGAGAAGAATGCCAACCCGGTTTCACATCAACCAACCTGTAAGTCGTGCCAGGTTTGCCTGAACAGTGTGCCCAGTGGCACGGGTGCCCTGTCAGCCAGGAAACACACATCTTTCCTTGTTTTTTTTCAAAGAAATACTGTATTATTTTGATCTGGTTTTAGTTTTTTTAGGAGCACGCACATAACTTTGCTTTTTAAGGTGAAGTTTCTCACAGAAATCTTGATTCCTTGGGTCTTTTATCTGAAACAACGCCCTGTACTCTGTGAGCTTCCCACCCATTTTCTTCAGCTGTAAGAATGGAGTGGCTTAAGTGCTGCACTCTGGATAGAGCTTAGTTTTAACTTGCAAATAACCACAGAAGCACAAAAGTTACTGCACACACTTGCCTACTGGGGAGAGCGGCACCCAGGTTGGATGGTGTCAAGAAGCAGGTACATATTGACCACCATTTATACCTTCTGAATACACTGTGTTTAGTTTTCAAGGAGAGAAGAGGGAATGAAATTTGCATATCAAAGCCTAGATTCTGCTCAAGTGTTTTCACAGTCAGGCACAGCAAGCGATCTGGAAAACTTTTTATTCCACTTACAATTTATACCAGCAGGCAGTGATTAAGGTCTTTGTCAATTAGGCCAGCCGTCACAAGTGAACCTTACTGTAAATTTTGCTATTGCCAAATTCAAGGTATTTTAGCCACCTTCAAACACTTAGCGATATCACAGGATGTTTTTGTATCAGTCTTATAAAGAGTTCAGTCGTGGTTGTCGGTATTCCCTTCTGGCTACAGAAATATCCTTTGTTCTTCATTTTTTTGCAGAACCTTAGAGACAAAACTACAGGAGTAAAACTGTTATTGATTGTGCAAGAGAATAGTTATGTTCCCAGGCCCATCTTTTTTGAACTGGCTTTCACTCCTTGTGGGCGGATGCTTTTCAAAACAAAACATTTATGACCTAGTAATTGCTTTTCTATGATGCCTGCTCTTAGGGTTTCATACACCTTGCTCACTGTCGAGTTTTGCTTGAATCATTAAGGGGGAAGGATGTGTATTTTAGTCTTTCTGTCAAGAGGGATGAAATATCTGTGAGTAACAGTGCCTCAAGTTATCACAAGGGTTGGCTCCCTCTCCCAGGATCAGGACTACGACAGGAGGTGTCATTTAGGTCTCACTACAGCCATATCATGAACTCACTGCTTATCTCTTGTTCTTGCCTATGGGACTTTGTGACACAACCAAGTTTGGTTACAACTCCTTTATTGAGGGCCAAGAGAGTTTATGTGCTGTGGGGTGGAAGTGTGCACAGTGGTATTGCTGTAGAGTAGCTGAAGCCTTGCAGGCTTTATAACTAAGTTGGAGATGAAAACGCCTGAGGTTACTCATAAGAAAATACCTGCAAGGCAGAAGGAAATGGAAGAAGTGATTTTTTGAGACAGAAGATCAACTGCTCAGCTGCCAGAGTAGCTGTGTGGTAGTTTCTTCCCTTTTCAACAATCAAAGTGAGTGTAGGACAAGTTTGGTTGTAGGAGACACAAAAAGCAGTCTCTCTGCTGCCTATGTTCTACCTTGCTAGTAAGGATATGCTCAGGTCTTAACTGTTCCTTGCAGTAACCTCATTACAGCATGTGATTTTATATTGCTTAAAATTTCCCGAGTGTCATCTGCAGAAAAAGTTGGTTTTTGTTTCTCGTTGTTGTGGTTTTTGATTGTTTGGTGGTGGTGGTTGGGTTTTTTTGTTTGTTTGTTTTTTT